ACGGATAGGAGCCGAATTGAGTCCAGCGAAGAAATATTGGACAGCATACTCCTCTACACGAGGGGGGGGGGGGGGTCGGGGTAGGGACGGCATGCCACACGAAACACCCGACCTGACCACGCCTCCAGTGACTCGGAGGGGTCCTGCCTCATTGCGGTGAGAGTCACGCGTGGATCGGCTTAATGTGGCTTAAGAGCCTCACCTAGCGCGGCGAACGTGGGGTTCGTCGTGAGGTCCTCGAGAAGGGACTGGAGGGCTCCTTTCAAGCCAGAGACTAACAGCTGAAAACGCTGTTCGCAAGTAAGCTGTGGGTACATCCCCACTAGATTATCAAATGGCGCTCTATCGTCAAAAAAGATCTTGTCGTCGAATTTCGGACCGGTCTTTTGGAGGGTCAGTATGTCACTGGCTGACACGACTCACGGGACATAGCTGGGTTAGGGACAGGGACCAGGTTGGCCCGGGGGCCAGAGGGGCGGCCACGTCCGCGTGGACAACCGGGGCCACGAGGTCCTTTGAGGCTATTACGTGGCACCTCGTCGCGTACAATTGTAGTCGCGTAGCCGCGTAGCCGCCTGCCTGCCTCGGCAGTGGAAAGGGGAAATGCAGCGTGCTGATTGGTCCTCCGTACGCTCCCGACACTTCTACGTCACGCACCCACTACGTCACAGCGGAGTGTCTCGGCGAGGCTTGCCGCAGCCACACAAGAGAACCAATCTAACGACTACAATCCTACGCGACGGGGTGCCACGTAATAGCCTCACTGGGCACGGACGATAAGGAAATACTTTTCCACCTCGTCCGCTTCAGGGTCCACATTATTCCCCAGGATGTTGGCAGAGAGCGCACGGGGACGGCGGGTGCGCCTCCTTTTGGCTGGCGACCCGGGCTCATAGAGGAGACCGCGGTGGAGCATTACCGCCCTCTGCTCCTCGCGCATCTGCCGCACCGTCGCCTTCACCCGCAATCAAACGGGGAGCGTAAGGAGACAACCGACCAGGGGAAGGGGCGGGCGTGTGAGCTGCTGGCTTACCTGTTCTTTCTCTTCTTCACGGAGGAATGGGAGCTCAGCACACAAACTTTTCCGAGTCAAAAGCCGTTGACAGCAAGTTTGAAGAAGTCAGAAGGCATCTTACTTTCTTTTGTTTTTTTCTTTTCAACTAAGAATAGGTTTAAAAATGGAATACCATTCCAAAATAGATTTACTTAGTTTTAGTGATGTGACATGCTTACTTCGTTAGTTCTCATGACACAACTTTATCGAGGCTCAGCCACGATTCCAACTGGCTTAAACATAGCCGCTTTCCCCGGATTACCCTGGATTTTGTAGAATTTCCTCGGATTACCCATGCCGGATTACCTAACGGCTGTCAGCCGGATTACCTTAGTCGTTTCCCCCTCGCTAAATGTGGAATGCTCTTCAATAAAAACTTTTAGTATAAACAAAATGTACAGTATAGCACAGATGAAATAGACAAAAAATGTACATATGTACATGAAGTAGAGTAAAAAAATAAAGGAGAATACATAAAATAAAGCTGAATACAAAAAATAACGTTAGTCCTTCTTCTGTCGCTTGTTGTTTCAGTCTTCAATATACTGGCTCTACGAGCCCGCTTAGCATTTATTACTTCCCTCATATTCACGTTATCCTTAAACAACAAAAAAACACATGAGTAGAGCATTTTTTTAATTTGTTGTTCATCAAAGTCATGCGTTGTCCTTCCACTTACAACCATTATTGCTTGATGGGGCTGGGGTGGAGGCAAATAGAAGACAGGGTCAGGCACTTTCCCATCGGATGCTGCTTCGTGGCCTAAACGAATGAAGGCCCTGCCCTTTGCGCCACGGCAGGCCTTGCAGCTGGAGTGGGCGGTCGCTTGGCCCTAGTTCTTTTCCTTTTGAACACTTCCCCATTGAAAACAAACAAGGATATAAGACGGATACGAAGATCAAAAAAGTTTGTCTGTGTGGATAATTTAAACTTACGGTATGGCGGGGTTATAGGGTCGTGTACTTTTGTTTATACGAGTTGTAGACCCCTCTAAAGATCAGACAGATCAGCCACCTGGAGCGGAGGGAGGGGCAGGTGGGTGGGGTGCAGCGGCGGGCCTCCGGGAGGCTCTGCACGGCCCCAGTTCCAGGCGATTTGAATACAAACGGTTAGAGCTACATCAAAAGTAACAAGCAGGCCCGCCCTTCGGCCAAACGAAGTTGCCAGCTCCGCTTCGCTCCGCCGGCAACTCCGATGGACAGGGGCCGGGCCTGCTCGGCCTGCCGGCGGCGATGATCGGGCCTGCGGGCCGTCGTCTTTGAGTTTGCCCTGTAGACACGAGAAAGGGATGTAACGGTGAAACACCGCGACTACAACCCACCCTTCTGCTTAGAAAACGTTTTTTGGGGGTGGGGGGAGAGTTTCTTTCCTATTTTGCGGTTTTGAGGCCTTTTTCTGCAACTGCTTGTTCACTGGCAATTTTTAGCTTATTTTCGTCAAAAAAGACCCTCTAGCACCTAAACGGTTAGAGATAGAGCAAAACGGTCAAATTTTTTTCCGGGGAACTCTATCTAGACGAGTTACCCCTTAGGAGAACATAAAAAAATTACTTTTTTGGAAAATTTTTGAACCTTGGATACCCCTATTCACACCCTCAGGGGTGGTTGCCAGGATTTGCCGTAGGTGTTTTGTTCTCTAGGAGTGGACCTTAAGAAGATACCCTGAAAATTACAACTCTGTAGCACATTTCCTTCTAGTGGAACAGACAGACACACAGACACGAGGTCGTTTGCATACGCCTGCTGGATAGCTTATTCAAAGCAGAAGGGCGGGATAAAAAGGGTAATCGTCAACACCTCTTCCACTGGAGAGGTTATCCTGAAAAAAGTCGCTCTTGGATTTTTGATTCAGATCTAGTATGATGGATTTCTATGCTTTTCTACCTAGTATCGCAAGTCCTGCTGTCTACCCCCGCGAAATTGGATTGAATATGTTCTTAATTTAAACTTATTGACCGCTAATAAGAACTAAATATAATGTTAATAAGTAGACATGACTTAATATGTTTTTATTTGGGGATACTTAATAAGTTTTCAAGGACCATATATACCCTTTATTAAGTGTCTGCATTGTCCGCACCCTTATTAAGTACGTCATATGAGGCCTAAATTAAGCCAGAAACTCCAAATATGACTTATATTAAGTATATATGTTATGTTCAAGATCATTATGATTCAGATGGTGATAAGTAGTTAAGATTTTCGTCGTTGTAAATACCACTTTACCAAGAGACCCCCTCCTAATTAAATAATAATTTCTTTGTGGTATTATATATGACCTTAATATAATGTTAATA